CTAGGGGATCTAAGAAACAGGAGTTCAAGCAAAAATACCAAGATCGGGTTCACCGTTAGTTTTTCTTTTTTGTGAAGCACATTTCTAAGTCTATAACTTTCTTACTATATGTGCTAGCGGGGTCAATTAAAAGCTATTTTGTAGAGCGTGTTTTACTGCGTCTTTTCATCATAGAGAGAAATTTACAAACATGTGTTTTACTTTAGAAAAATTATTATACAAATCGTATCAGGACTTATGGGCCACCCTGTATATTAATGTTTAAACATTCTCCGCGGCAAACCCTAAAAAGCAGGATTTTCTTCTATCGCTGCCCTTTTTATTTCCAATTTTTTGTCATTATTATTATCACTATAGAGATAACTTTTAGAACAAACAAGTATATGCTTTGACAACGCTTTACATTCTTGATCAATCTGAACTTTTGAAACTTAAAATGAAAGAGATAGTTGAAAAACCGAGATTTTTCCCTGGTTTAAGGAGCATGTCTTCGTAATACTCATATTATTCTTCAGCACATATATGCAGGAGAAAACAAAACTATACAGAATGATAGAGAATTTGCAGCTCTATCAAAAATTATAAGGACTATTATAAAAATTTCTTTCCATCGTACCTATGATTGGACGAAGAAAATGAAAGAACGTAGCAAAAAATCTAGACTTTTTGCTCTTGTCAAATAAGACGTCTTCATTGTACGCAAATTATTTTTACAATAGATAAATGGAAGACAATAGACAAATATATAGGAAGATAGAGGATTTCAAGCGCTATCATACAGTCAGTTTTTAAAAAGGTACTTTTATAATGATGACGAGCGGACAGTTCGGGTACTTTCCTCGGTAGGGCTCTAACGTCGCACAGAAGTCACGTCAAAATGAGAATTCTAAAGCATAGAAGCGCAGAAAGAAGAAAATTAGTTAAGTGAAGCGAAACCTAAAAAGAGTTGCTTTAGTCAATTGAACTATAAAACAGCGTATTCATAGATTATGTAGATCTGAAATATTCAAAGTGGTATTTCCTAATCCCATGTCTTTTTTTTCCAAAGAGAAAAGATTTATGTAAGTAACCGGATAAAAAGAATGTTCAGAACGATAACAATAGAAACAAAAAAACGAAGATGTTTTCAAACAACAATTGTAAAGCTATAATCGAAGAAAAAAATAAGAGAAATATTAGAGAAAACAAACATTAGAATACACGATTTAGAAAAAGAAAAACTTGAATGATGAACAATTAATGTATTATTTGTCACATTATGCTTTTACTGTAGTAATCAGATAAAGGGAAAAAAAGCATGTGATGCAAAAAGAGCACAAAGAATAGATTTTTCAAAAAACAGTATTATATACATTAAATATTAATTTAAAAGAAAGAAAAGAAGGATCGGTATTTCAATATTTTAATTTACATACAAGTATGGTCCTTAATGGAAAGTAACTATAACAGTCAATATTTGAATCCTCGGAAAACTATGATGATAAGCTTTTTTTCAAATTTGCATTTCATCAGTTAGTATTCTATACTGGACAGCCATAAAAGAGCAGCAAAATTGTTGTATACAGGGAACGAATAAGTCCACTTGTGGACTGAATCTTTTCTCATCAGTTGAACTCGACGTGGTAAATAGTGTCTCAATGATAAACAGTTATACACTAAATATTTATTTTTTGTCTTTTTGTAATAATGAGAAAAGGCCTGAACCACCACCTGTAAGCAGCACTGTAACGATTTTCAGAAGTAGCGCTCGATCAACGATCAAACCGAATAATTTCACTGAATATTTAGCTTTTGCAGCTTCTAAATATTCAATAACGGTAGACAAATATTGAATATTTCTGTCTTCGATTGTATTATCTTTTTTTAATAACAATTCACATACAGCTTCTTTTTTCGTTCGTTTCAAAAGTTGTAGAATATGATGAGTTGTTGTATGATTAAAAAATACAACAATAATAAGAAATATAACGATCGTTATTGTTAAAATACATATATCGATCAATGAAAAACTTGTCAGAAGATCAATGGATTCACCAAGGCCATATATTAACAGACGAATGATAGCTGTTAAACCAAGAATCAAATCCAGGATAAGTGCATAGGTAATTGTTGATAGGCAAGTCCGATATTCACTTTTATTTGTTTTTGCTACTAATCGACGAACTTGTGCCAGAAACAAATTAAGATTATTTGGTTGTCTCAGATTTAGGTAATCAGCTGCTCCAAGTTCAACAAAACGCTCATCGTTTGTAACACGTAACATAATACTGTTTAATTCATTGAATAGTTCACCATACTGAACAACTGCATAAACGATCATTCCAAGAAAAATACTATAAGATATTCCACCAATATAAATATACGAAAATTCAATGGACTTAACGAACCATGGACGAGATCCTGTTGACGGTGGATAGTCTTTTGTAAAATGTTTGCGTGATATATACGGGATGCACGGATGAATAAAAATAACAAAGATATAAAGACAAAGAGAAATCACTGCCAGTACAACTTCACGATTAGTTCCTTTTGACTCTATATAGTGATGATATGCTCGATTTATCAACCTTCCTTGTTTATCTGTGTTACCGGAAGCTTTCATCACGTATGCATTTTTCGTTAATAAATCAAGTTCAGCTTCATTATGTTTCTTTTGAACAAGTTTTTTATCTCTTTTAATATCAAATATTTTTTGTTTTATAACATCTAAATAAATAAGAAAAGCGAAATAAATCATTAATGAAAAAGGCCAATAGGCTTCCAATATGTTGACATGCCAAAGATGATTGACTTGATTATGATAATGATACAAAATGATATTCATAATAGGAATATAGACAACACAAGTTACAGATGCAGCCAATATTGAAAGCATACCTGTAAGAAAATAGCCACAGAAGAGAGTGAACGAGTTTCTCGAAGAAAATTCTTCAGTGATAAGGACAAAAGTGGTGATAAGAGATATAAATGGCAAAAGAATTACGACTAATAGAAAAGACCCAGTATGCACCAACATATCACAATACGGTATTGCTTCAATATCTTCACGTGTTGGAACATCCATTTTATCTTTTACTGTATTATTAACTTTGTTAAGAAAAGGATGAATAGCATTTGTATAGGCCTCCGACATGTTTACTTTCTCGTCATTCTTTTGAAAATAATTTAATTTATTATGTGTGAAGTATTCAGTTAGCATATCAACTAACAAACACTTGAAATCGACTTTATCCAATTTTCCATCATGTTCATTATCAATTGGTATTAAATACCGATGAGATTCCGCAACGTCATCAACCAATTTTAGTACTGTTAATAATCCAATATACATTTCATTAAGATCCAAATGGCCCGATTTATCTCTATCACAATATGCATAGTAACGTTCAAATCTGTCTTCATATTCGTCGCTAAATATAATTGATTGTAGCGATAATCTAACGAATAATAAGAGTGCTTGATAATCATATGAGAAATTATATTCCATTCGATCAGAATTCGATTTCTTAAATGTCGATAAAGATTCAACTTGTACTGATTTTTCTTCCCTACATCTTTCAATAAGGTCAATTATTATTATTGTATCTGTATTGAATAATGAATCTCGATATTCGCTTAACTGTTTGTTTAATTCTAAAAGATAGCCATGGTAATATAAATCATATTTATCTTGTTCGCTTTCTTCCATTTTTAACTGTTTCAATGACTTATTTCTTAATAATTGCACATGATCGCCAACTTGAATATCTTTAAGTTCAATAATCACATCTTGATAATAAACAAATAATGGAAAAGCATTTCCAGGATTCTGTCCATTATAATGATATTTTTTTGGTGATATTGGTTTGGAAAATCCTTCATTTTTGTCAGCTGTCCTTATCACCGAATCTGTAATCGATACATGATTACATAACTTATGACGTTCGTGTGGTAATTCATATAGCACTCCGAATGAGACAGCAGACCGTAGAGCGTTCTATTCAACTATTCATAATAAACAGGTAAATGACTTTTGTACTTAACTAATAAAACTGTAAAATTTTTCGAAAGATTCTCAGAAGATTATGCTTTAGTTAAATTGTTAGTTTGTTATAAGGTCTCTCTTTGGTCGATACTTATACTTCATCCAACGCATACTTCTCTGGATAACACAGGCTGTTAGCGCAAACCCTAGAGATTAAATCCTACGTAATAACCAGCCTTTTTCCATGAAAACTGGATGCCGCACAGAGAAACCTATGTCATGAACGTTTTACGCCGCTTGTGCTATCTTTTACGGTTTTTACTATAAGATGGGCCAGCTAACGGATGAGACATTAATACTCCACTTCAGAGTTGACCTCAAGTCGAGATCCTTTTGGCACAATATTTGGCCGACGAGGAAACCTATGGAGATGTATACCTCTAATTTTGTTCGTTCATACGTCAATCAATAGAGTGTATCGAGCTTGTAAAAAGCCTAAAAGGATATCGGCTGATGGTTCTCGAAGATCCGTTTTTCTATAAAATCAGTTTTTTAGAAACTCTGAAAAAGTAATCGAAACCTTTCTTAATGAAGCAGAATTATAGTCCCCAAATTTCTTAAAAAAATATGAGACATCTCCCAGTTCTACACGACCATTCTTTGCAAAGTTATAGAATTTACAAGAGAAGCCTTAGATGTTCATTGTCAGCTCAAAGCTGCAGAAATAAGAAGAAATTAATTTAGGGCTTTTCTTGTAAATTAGATAACTTTGCAGAGAAAGGTCGTGTAGAGCCGGGAGATGTCTCATTTTAATAAGAAATTTATGGGTTCCAATACTGTCTCATTAAGAAAGGTTCTGGATAATTTTTAGAGTTTTCGAAAAACTGGTTTTCCAGAAAACCGGAACTTCAAGAGCCGTCAGCCGATATCCTTTTAGGCTTTTTACAAACTCGATAACTTCTATCGATTGACGTATGAACGAACGAAATTGGGAGTATACATCTCCATAGTTTTCCTCGTAAGAAAACAAACGATAAAAGAACAAAAGAAGAAAGCGTTGTGCTCACGGTGCCCCAATGTTCAAAGATAAAACGAGGATCTAAATACCAGATATAGACTGAAGTGTCCTCTACAAAATGGCAGTAGTATCAAGTAGTTCCGTACAGCCTGAGCAGAGAACTAGGCGGGCCCATGCATTAGGGTTAAACAGTATAAAATTCAACGCAACCTTTCCCACTGATATAATAGTCCGAAGTGATTGGAGGTGACTTCAGATGATTGCGCAGAAATATTCTTCTTACCGCTTATATATATCACTCAAAAAAAAGGGCTTCCTGTCATGAATCTGTCCATTATACCTCGCTAACCTCCTTAAAAGCGATGAGGACCGTGAACCGTGCTGATCATGATAGAAGAGAATCCTTCCGTCGATTATTACAAAATTCTGTGCGTGGCTAAACTAGAGAACATTCAAACTTTGCGAAACATCTATAGACTTACCTTGTTCAAGTGGTGGCATTTCTGATGGTTTTTCTCTTATCGGTATTAATAACATGTAGAGAAATGTTTCTTTATTACGTTCATTTGTTAGTTCAGACATAACATCTTCAACGTGCTTAGCATGATCATTGATAATTTTATTTTTGTATAGGAAACATATGCTTTTATTTTTTATTTTATTTTCATCTTCTTTTTCGGTTCCATTTTTCGCTTTCAATACTTTCATACTAATTTCATTAAAAGTTCTACCAATAGGAAATGAAACATGTTGATCGAATGCAGTTGATGTATTTCGACCTTTGATTCTTTCATCATCTAATATACGGACATTGATTTCTTGTGAAAGATGTTGAGTTTTTGAAAATCGTTCATCATGTTGAGCATCATTAACGGTATGAATTGTTGTTGCTACTTGTATAACTTCGCTTTTGTTACAGGACTTTTTATTGCCATGAAATATAACATCATATTCTTTTCTTGTTAGCATTGCCAATAGACTTGATTTTGGTTGTAGATTTCGACTACCTTGTCTTTCTGACAGTCTCGCAATTATTCTTCCTTCTGTTTTTTCTCCTTCTTTTGATCCTGCCGACATTATTTAAAGAAAAGGGCTGATAAGCTAAGTTTTTGTCCCTCAATAATCGGTTTTATTCGATGGGAACATATCAGACGGCTAATAGGACAGTTTTTCACCACTTAGTTTTCTGAAGATCGGATACGAGGTTTTTGACGCTCTTCGTATTCATTAAAATCTTTGCAAAACTTTTTTGCTTCGATGTCTTTGAAACCATATAGACAAGATGTACTTTTTCACGCTGATCACAAATATCACGCTGAAAAAAGAAAACTTGAGAAAACATCGTAGTTTAAGTGTTATTTCTAAATTTCACCATCGAAACGAGCTCTGACGTCAAAATGAATGCAGTATTCGGAATATACGAATCCTGCAGAAAAATTTTAGGAAATTAAATTTCCCACATTTCATGTTCCAGACTCGGTCTAAGAAATGTTTCCACATGTGAGAAACGCTAATTATTGTTAGTCAGTTATTTTTAATTTTGTTAGTTTTTATTTTTATGTAAGGCGCCGCTAATTCAAAAATCAAGTGGAAAAGCTTTTGAATTCTCAAACACATATTCTGATTCATCGTACGCTGCTGATCATGAATCTGACCTTATTGTTTCGATTTGACCGAGTTTTCATGCAGAAAACCTCAAAATACTGTGAAGGTGTCAAAAATCTCGAAAAACCGATTTTTAAGAAAAATCCCGATTATCGCCTGATCTTTTCATTTTTTGATCTCACCGATGCGATTTTCGGATTCAGCATCACGAAGCACATCTAGGCACTTGTCATTCGATGACTTTTCTTCAAGACTTAAACTCCGGTAGCTGATCAAACACTGATCGTTCGAACCTTGAGGTTCTCATTGCGCAATGCTATCTAGTTTTTTGCCATGAGAGCTAGAGACTTCTTTCATACGCCAGAAGATTCGCCTAGCCCTGCTCCACAAAAGTATGCTTCGTTTTTTTCGAAACGTTTTTCCTTTTACGACAAATTAGGAAAAGACTGAAAAAGTGCGAGTTTTTTGAAAAATACTGAGCCCATAACTCAATGATATTTCCACCTAGAGAACTACTATTACGGTTTTCTAGCTAAGAAGATGCCTTCTAGGACAACTCTAGGCTGAGATAAGGCCATTTTACTTTCAGAGATTCGGTTGACTCGAAATCCTTTAAGAGATTTGCCAATAACTCGGCCTTGAAAGACGCTGGGAAGCTCGGAAAGGTCTTATTTTGCTCAGAAATCGATGCGCATTCAGATGC